TTTTCTAACCCAAACCATTCTAGGTTTCCAGGATTTAATGCCACAGCAACAATATTCATGTGGTCCATGATTTCCTATCTGTGGCTCTTACCTCAGCCAAATAAAGGGTCCTTTGGGCCATGGGTGATGCAGCTTTGCTCCCTCCTGTGTGCAGCCGTGCTGAGTGTCACAGTTATTTGTTCCACGAGCTCCATGGATCAATAACTCTGCAGCACTGAAAACATTTCAGTTCGAGGGAGATTTCAATAAAGTGAGCTCTGCACAGCCCTGCAGAGCTGCTGGGACACCTCCAGACACGAGCCAGGCTCTGGCATGAGGGAAAGGTGGCACTGGGGGATGCACTGAGCGCCCACTTTTCCTCTCTTTGAATCTGAGCTTCCAAAGTTTGCTCCCTGTTTTTAAAAAGTCAGGCTGCTGACATTGCAGTCACTAATGAAATCCTTTCCCTAGAGTTAGTCTGTCACAGAATCCCAGATCTGCTTTGGGTGGGAAGCTACCTTAACATGCTACTTTTGCAGTCCAGTGTTGCTAGTGACTTCCATCTTTACTCAATCCATTATATTTTTATAGCTGCTTATTGCAGACATCCTTTTTTTTATGGTGTTCTCGGAAGACATAATTTTCTGTGCTCAGAGAAACTCCAGTTGTGTAACATGAAGGATTATTTTCATGCTGTTTAACACCTGGAGTTGGTCGGTTTCATACAGAAAATCCTTACAGGAATAGGAGGCCTAAAGGACTGAGCAGGTACAGAATACTTCAAATAATTGTTTCATGCTTTTGTTAGTTTTTATAATTTGTGCCAGAAGCTGATCCCATGACTGTGATCATAGGATTTGCCTTTGCTCTCAGGAAGGGGTTCAGGACCAAGGCAAACCGTTGTGCCTTGAAAAAGCCACTTTTATAAAAAAGATCAATGTTATCCATTAACATTTGGCTGTAGAGTGTCAAACCAGGTTTTAGAGTTTATGATATTTCCATTTGTTATTTATTAGTAGAAGACTAATGCCCAAATCTGAATCTGTCAGGATAATCTGCATTTGAACATGAGTCAGAGGTGCTTAATTCTTGTACGTGAAAATCCTCCTTTCCTGTAAGCGGGTTATGGGTGAGTTAGGAGGAGTTTTTGTCTTTTTCCACACTTAGGGTATTTGTAATAACAGAAACTTTTTCCTTGTGTGACTTTTCCCCACCTGTATTTACATGGGGAGGATTGCATTGACTTGAGCCTTTTAGAGTAGACTGTTGTCTGTGAGTCATGGTGTGGCTTGGCTGGTGGAAGTGTGTTTTTAAGGCTCAGGTTGTGCTTTTGAGGGAACAAAAACAACATAAAATAGATGCCAGGCCAGGCTGGACAGTGCTCTGAGCAATCTGGTGTAGTGGAAGGCGTCCCCTGCCCAGTTCCAGGGAGTGGAACTGAATGAGCTTTAAATTCCCTTCCAACGCAATGCAGTCTGTGATTTTGTGACAATATGAAATGCATTAAAATTATGTGTATGGCTGAACTTGCAGTGTATGGAGATTTCACCACATTGGGGATAGGATGTTCTTTATTGCCCTCAAGAGAAAAAATGGTGGAAAGAGAAAAAATGGTGGAAAGAGAAAAATTGGTGGATCAGCTTGTTGGATCCATTATCTGCATCTGTGGTCATCACTCAGTTCTGTGGAGAAGGCAGGAATTAGAGGGGCAATGGGCACCTCAGTGAGGAGTAAAAGAGATCCAGAGTAAATGTAGAAATAAAACCCAATGGAATGGGAAATCAAATCCTTTCTTACAGATGGGAGGTGAACTGTTCAGTGCAGATCTGTCAGAATATTTTCCACAGACCTGTGTCCACACAGCAAGTAGTGCAGTGATCACATTGCCCTCTCCATGTTTATTAAAATTCTCCTTCCTCTTTTCAAAAATACTTTTTAGTGCAGAACCTTCTAGTGACAATCCCATCGGTCATTAACATTTCTTGAACTCTGAAAATTCGGTGGGTTTTGTATTTTAGAACACAGTGTGCAATGCCACGTGCATGGGATGATATATGGTCCTGGTGTCAGCCAGAAATGATAAAGAAAAGAGAGGTTATTTTTAATATATATTATTGAAATAACTGTTACTGAGACTTTGGTAAAGCATATTTATTAAAACTGCAGTTACAAACTAAATATTAAAGGGTTGACCAGTGCAGAATTATTACTTTAAACAATTTTCTTTGCCTTTCTTCTGCTTCACAGGGACTTTATAGTGAAAAACCATGCCTGTATCTCTGTTTTGCACACTCCATTAAAAAAAAAAAAATCTGGTATCACCAATGTATAGCTGAGTTTGTGATCTGGTTGTGCATTGTCTGTCATGCCCTTGGACTTTCTCAGCCTTTCCTAGCGCCACAGAATCTCCCTAAACCCAAGAGATTTATTGCTGCCTCTTACCTGTTGAGCTTTTATTGCAGGAGAAGCAAAAGAGCAATCTCACAATCTTTATCTGCAGATCCCAAATTTAATTTGCAAGACAGGGAACTATAAAGATAAATTATGTAAATGGAGGGGCAGAAGCCACTGACCATCAGAATCAGTGCTGCATTTTGAAATTAGCCTTTCTTTGTAATGGGCATGAGAGTTTAACTTGGAAATGCAATATAACAACCTCTGCATGTAACTTTTTCTCTAGTTCTCTTTCTCTGGTCTGGAATATATTTGAAGACTTTTACTAAACCACTTTTATTAATTTTAGTCCCAAAAAATGTTGTACAGAATTTCATGTCTTTTAGAGTTCAGACTGTTAAAATGTGGAGAAAATCCCATTTTTCTAGCACAAGTGGTCAGTGATGCTTTGTTACCGACACTTTTACCTTTTCCCCATCCTCTATTAAGTCTCTTGCTCTTTTATGGATTTGCAAGGATAAAAGTGGAGTGCTTCTTTTTGGCTTGCACAGTGTTAGCTTTGCTCTGCTCTTTTGTGTTGAGCACCAAACCTGTTTGGTCCAGCAATGAGACTGTCTTGAAATTCAAATTTTATGTTCAAGGAGACAATTGCTGAACATAGCATTTGCGTGTTCAGATATTTACAGTTAAATATCTTGAAACCTGATGGGCTCTGTGTACCTCTCTATGATCTTTGCTTTTTCACAGTTGCTGGCTGGATCCAGGCTCATTTGCTTCCTATAAAAGATTTTATTAAAGTAAGGAGAAAAGAAAATGTTTTCGAGTATCAGGAATGTGCCTCAGTGCTCACACACTTTAAAGTCAGCCTGTGCAGTTTGAAAGTTTAACCGAGAGCCATCTCCTTTGTAAAGAATGCAGATAATTTTTTTTTTTTCCTGGCAAAAAAAAAAAAAAAAAAAAAAGGTAACCTGATATGAGTCTGACAGTGTCGTTTAGTTAAGTGCTTCCATCTGTTGCTTGCTATTTCCCTTACTCATGACCTCTCTTTTTTCTCTCCCCCTCCTTCTCCTTTAGCCCCTCTGAGGAAAGCAAAGTTTGTTGAGAGCCCTCGAATCCCCGAGTCCGAGCTTGGCTCCCCAACCCTCTCTGCCCAGAAGCTGGACGTGGATGCATTCTGCCCTGGTAAGCTGCATGCAAAGGCTCTCTGCAAACAGGCAGAAAGATTTTTAAAATGTATAATACGGCTCCTTTGGCTGGATGGTTGGTGGCACCTTCCCTAACCAAGTTTCGGTGACTTGGAAATTTGAATAAGCGTTAATTTCTGATAATTGCCCGTTTACGTTTGTTGCTTGCAGTTTTGCATGTGGCTGCTCTCCCCTCAGAATAATTTAGAAGGTCTAGAGAGTTGCTTTTGAGAAGATAAAAATGAGCCAATAAACATGCTTGCTTTAAATTTAATTTTTAATGCTGGTCTGCAGAGAGGCTGGAATAAAACCACGTCTCAGAAACATCATTAAATCAGCTAAAACAAAACTGTGGGACCTTGTTACAAGAATATTAGGGTGTTAACTTTTATTTTGTTAAGAAATACCTTCTAACTTATGTATCCTGTAGCAGTTGCTGTGAAATGCATACATGTTGCTTGAGGCCTCTGGTTGAAAAATAAATAAAGTGGGTCATGTCCCTTCGTGGCTCAGCCCTGTTCGTGTCTGTCAGCTCGGGCAGGCTTTGCCTAAATCCCCCAAGCCCCAGCAAACCCTGGAATGTGCAGCTCAGTATCATTTCCACTGGCAAGTGGCAACCTGGGCAAGGCTAGAGACTCTGGAGAAGGCTGAAAACAGCAGCAAGTGGTTTTGGTGGATTCTGTGCTGAATTCTGCACATTCTTCCCCTGGCTTTCCTTGGTAATGAACCGTACTCACTGTAGGCTTTGGATGGAAAAAAATTAGTGTTTAATATGTTGAAATGGTGTGCAAATGTGTGATGTCTGCCTCTGAAATCTGTAGCTGCAGTCGCCAAGGTCATATTAATAAATGACTGTGAAATCAGGGTGTTGCTTATTCCTGTGGCTGATGAACTTGTAGAGTGCTCAAAATTGGAGGAATTAATTGAATGTTGTCCAGATTTTGAATGTGGGCTTTCTTGAATGTATTGTCTGAAAGAGAAGTTGTCCCAGAAAATCAAAAGACAGTTCCTGTGCTTGGCAGTGCCTAATTTGAGACCACAGTTGCCTTGAAAAGTGCTGCTCCTTTTTCAGTCATCATGAATTACAATTAAAATTGTGCTGCTGCAGCCCTTTTTTCTAACTGAACGGCTTCAACTGTCATGTTTATAATTGTTAATAATTATAAACTTATTATGATTGCATCCACAGAGAATTATCATTGCATTGTAAGATTAAAAAACCATAAATTCCACATTCCCACACCCAGACTTGTGCCTCCCCTCTTCCAGCGCTTTGGAGGGCAGGACTCCTGCCAAGCCCAGGGATGGGCTTTGACAATGGGGATCTGCAAATTTCTTTAATTTCTTTTTTCTCCTATTTGATCTCCTCCTCTTGCTGATAGTTTGGTGATCTGAAAGGAAAAGTGGAGTTTTGTACTGCCTTGAAGTGTCATTAAAGGAACACGCAGTGTCATTAAGGAAGGGAAAAAGTGACAATGGCGGAGTTGTCACAGTGGAACCAATAAGGTTGGAAAAGCCCTTTGGAGCTGTTGAGTTCAGCTGCAAACCCAGCTCTGCCAGAGCCACCACGGGGCTGTGTCCCCAAGTGCCATCTTGGTGTACTTGGAAAAGGGAAATGAGACCAGAGCAGAACAGAGCATGCCAGGGAAGGGCACGGGCTTGGAGTCAAGGTAGAAACTGCAGGTTGGAAATTCAGTTTGTTTCAGTTTCCTTAAATGTGACCCCAGGGAGCTGTTGGGAGCTGCTCTCTCCATGTGTGCCATGTCCAGGGACTGTGGCCAGGTTTATATTGGCAGCTGGGACAGGCAGGGGGAGAGAGCAGGATAGAATCCATTGGGGAAGGATTTCTGAAGCTGTTCAGGGAAGAAACTGCCCAAATTTATGGATCCTTCTGTGAAAGGAGCAGCATTGTGAGGGCTGCAGGTTTTGCTGGTGTGGAAGGATGGATTCCAAGCTTGAGATGCTCCACCTTGGAAGGAGTAGGTGGTTGGGGGAGGATCCTTGTGTAAAGAGGGAAAGAGAGAAAGAAAGAAAGCAAGAAAGCAAGAAAGCAAGCAAGAAAGAAAGCAAGCAAGAAAGAAAGCAAGAAAGAAAGAAAGAAAGAAAGAAAGAAAGAAAGCAAGAAAGAAAGAAAGCAAGAAAGAAAGAAAGAAAGAAAGCAAGAAAGAAAGAAAGCAAGAAAGCAAGAAAGCAAGAAAGAAAGCAAGAAAGCAAGCAAGAAAGAAAGCAAGAAAGCAAGAAAGAAAGCAAGAAAGAAAGAAAGNAAGAAAGCAAGAAAGCAAGAAAGCAAGAAAGAAAGCAAGAAAGCAAGCAAGAAAGAAAGCAAGAAAGCAAGAAAGAAAGCAAGAAAGAAAGAAAGAAAGCAAGAAAGAAAGCAAGAAAGCAAAGCAAGAAAGCAAAGCAAGAAAGAAAGAAAGCAAGCAAGAAAGCAAGAAAGAAAGAAAGAAAGAAAGCAAGAAAGAAAGCAAGAAAGAAAGAAAGCAAGAAAGAAAGAAAGCAAGAAAGAAAGAAAGAAGGAAGGAAGGAAGGAAGGAAGGAAGTTGTGGTCAGCTCACAGGAACCAAAGGGGACACAGCATCCAGCTCCTGGTTTTTTAGAGTCCTACTCTGGATCATGGCAAAGCTTCAGGCACTGCCTGGAATCAGTTTTCCAAGGAAATACAACTCCTTTCTTCTGTGCTAGGCTTACATTAACCCTCTTCTAAAACGTGTGCATCCTGTGAAGATGTGGCACACAGCGCTAAATCCTTGAGCGTTTCCAAGAATAACGGTGTGAGTTGAAAGAAAGAAAAAAAATTAGGCTGATGATCTGCCTGGCAATGGAGGGGAGGTGGAGTGGTTTTTAATGTGATCCCTGACAAAAAAAAAATGTAATTAATTATGCACTTGAAAGCAGTTTAAAACACTAAATAGCAAAGAAAAGAGAGCATCAGCTACTCTGCAGATACAGGAACAAGGATTTCAATCTGAGATGCCGAGAGGTGAAATTTTGCTCGGTATCAAAATGTTTATTTTAAGGCTTCAGGCAAATTTCAGCACATTCCAGGGAGGTGGTTTCCTGAGCAACTGCAGTGCCCCTCGTGCTGCTGGGGGGAAGATTTGCTTGTGACATCCTCAGTGTGAGTCAGTGTGGGGGAGTGACGTGCTCCCGACGCTCCAGTGCTGAGGAGGGAGGAAGAGGATCACAATGCCGAGTGGTATCATGGAGGGACATCCTAATACCAAGCACAAATCGTGAAGTTTTAAGCTTGGTATAATTTTTTTTTTTTTTGTTACATTCATTGTATAGAGAAAAGAATGTAGATCTTTTAAAATTTAAAATTTAGAATAAATCTTCTAAAATGGATTTAGAATTTGGACCGTATTTTTATAGTTGTTGCAACTAAGATGATGGCAATAAAAAGCTGTTCCATGACGTTGAAAAACCCCTTTCTGCTAGAATTACCACAGAATAAGCTGAGTTGAAAGGGACCCACAAGGATCATTGAGTCAGGTTATGTTTCTGTAGATGTTTTTTAGTTGCAGAGGTTGTTGAGATTTCAGTGCTTGACTGGAAGTGTCCCTGGTGGGGAAGGAGTTCCTTGTCCCTTCCCTGTGTGGGTAATGAGGCCCTGGCACAGTCTCCCATCCCTGGAAATGTTCAGGGCTAAAAGATCTCCTCCAGCCCAGACCACTCTGTGACACAGCAGAGACTTTATAAGGAAGGTCTTGGAAGGTTTCTGATCCATCTTCGCTCTTGTCTCTGCTCCAATCCTGCAGACTCTGTTCAACAGAGGCATTTGTGCTTTCTTTCCCTCTTGTCAGCCCTCTGGGGCTGACGCCCTCACATCCATCACTGCTCTTCAAGGAGGATAACGTGGAAGAGCAGGAATTGACCTTCAAACCTCTGCTGTTCAACTGTCAAACCCTTTCTGCAGTGATTCTGGTGACTCAGTTCCATGTGTAGGGGTTTTCCCCCACTTTATCACACCTCACTCCTGCCAAGAGACGCTGCTTGCGTGGTGAACTGTCCTGCCTTCTTGGTTCTTAATTGTGCTCACAAGGACATCTTTCTTTGAGCTGCTTTTTGTTTTTCGTGGCAGCTAAAACATGTTTTGACTTCTAAGTGCTCAGAAAATCTGTTGGAGATGGATGGTGCTTTCAGGTAATGGCCTTTTGCAGTTGTTTTGTGTAATTTATTACCTTGGCGTCGTGTTCCAAAGGCTAAGTCTGTTATGACATTATCTTTTAATTTGATTAACTCCTTCTTCAGAAATTTTGGGACACAGATCCTGATTGTCTGGTTTGCTGGTTGCACATTAGGCTGGCAGGCGTCTGTTTCCATCGCTGATTGAGTTAGGAATCACTGCGGTGCTCCTGCCACACACAGGGAGGGGAGTGATTTGCCATGGCAGCAGCACTTGTGTTCATCTCATCCCTCCTTTTTCTCTTCCTTTGGTTAAAGAATCGTTGAGTTGGCATCTGCTTGCTGCTGCTTCTCTCTTTTTATCACGTAAAATGTGGATTTTTCATTTTACATTATCCACGTGCTTCTCCTAAACACAGCAAAATGCTTCTCAGGTCTTAGAAAAAGCCCTTTAAGAGGGAATGTGGGAACCAGCAGTACTCTCTGATTTTTCATTGTGAGAATACAGGCACTGAGCCAAAAAAATCCTACAAAACCCCAAACAAATTTAGCCAGCAGGATTCTGGTCCAGCCTCTGTCATATTGAACAGTGATGAACTGGGAGGGGGAAGGAGAGGAAATAACCAAACCAACCATGATCTGACAAATGGTTTTACTGTTGAATCTTGTGGTTGTCCCAGCATTGTCAAGCCCACTGACCTGAAGGGAATGGGAAATCATTGTGATCAGCCCTAATTGCAGAAGAGCCATAATTTGGCACATTGGTTGCCATGGAAGCAATTGACTTTTCTCATGCTGTTCCTGGGAGGATGCTGTTGGTTCCTTCTGCTAGATCAAGAGATGCAACCAGTTTCAGAATAAACTCGTGTATTA